CCTATAAATACCCCCCCCCCCCAACATTTCAGGTGTTCCTGGATCGAGTTGAGCACTTTGCTCAAGCAGTTTCCATCTATGAAGATCAAATCTTTCAAAAACGAACTCGAATACAGCAGGTAGTCTCATTTTTGGAGAACACTTTATGCTTAAGCAGATACTTAAAATAATTGCCTTATGCTACATGTTCCACTACTTCTGGTGAAAAGCTCACTTGTTCATATGCTATTTTGTTGAACCATGCTTCACACAAATGAATGATCTCTTGTTGGTTTTGATCTATACGAAGAGCTTTTCAATTCTGTGGTTTTTTCCTTTTTAATTCTATTTCTTTGTGTGTATCAGGCATATGAGAATAATGAAGAGATGAAACTTAAAGCAAGAGGAGAACATAATGTGGAGCCACGGGCTTCAGCAACAGACAAGGTGGTTCATCTCTTTTGATGCAACTCAACGTTAAAATTGTCAATCTTCGTTACTTGAGATAGTAGTCAAATGGTGTAATGTTTGTGTTTGTCAGATATATAGAAATACGACCTAGTCCTAATTCCTTTATTTTAAATAGCTGCATTTTCAGAAGTTTTGTTTGTCTCATTATCATCGTGAATGCAAGCCTTTTTTTTTTTTTTTTTTTAAATAATCTATTTGAGACACCCACCCACCCAATCCATGCACACATTGAGAATGCATAGTGGATGAAAAATGATGTGACAACGACTTTTAATCCTTTTGCCTTGTCTGTTCGAGTCATTGGACTAGTGTATATAAAACTTTTTCTGGATATGCCAATATAAGTAATAATTTTTTCTCAGTTATCAATCTGGCCAAGATTTTTGTCGTGTCAGGTGAAACTGGGGGAGCCTGGTTACAAAGAAAGGTATTATTCAGAGAAATTTGGTATATCAGAATCAGAAAAGATTAATGAAGTTAGAATGGAAGTGGTAAGCATATCCATCACATGAAATGTAGTGATCTTTTTAGCATTCTTTTCAGCTTGCTCGTCTTGTTATGTCTTTCAATTTACCAAGAGTCGATAGTATTTTCTGCTTCCACACTTTTTGAATATAAAAGTCTATTGCTATATGGCCCCTGTTATTCTTAGCAACACACATACACACACAACATGTATTTCCCTGCTTGAGTTCAGACAGGTCTAGTTCTGTCCTATCTAGCTATCAAGGTGGTCTAATTTCTAATTTATTTGGTAAATTTAGTTAATGGAAAGAGAAGATAGGGATGATGACAAAGGAAAGAGAAGAGTCAGATGAACTGGGAGGGGTTTAGAGTTTAAAACGAGAAAGGAATATTTGTGCAGCAGTCACTTTCTTGATTTCAACATGCAAATCCTTGAATGTGAATGTACATACCTATGATATCCCAATTGTCTGAAACTTGGGAATGAAATTTACTGAAATCTGATTGAGGTTTATAGATCGGAGTATCGTTGCTGTAAAATTCTGGTTTGTATTTTTCACATGTTAAGTGTTACTATCCTCTTTTCTTGAATGTAACTACTCTCTCTCTCTTCCCTATTTTCATTGTTGTTGCTTCCTTCTTTATTTAATGCTCGCTTGAATATCAAACTCGATGTATGGAATAGTTATTGTGTGAAGATGCAGACTATTCGATTCTGGAAAAAAGATAAATGTAAAGAAGTTATTTCAGGTTTCAAAGTACGTGGAAGGATTATGTTGGGTTTCGCGCTATTATTATCAAGGTGTATGCTCTTGGCAATGGTGTGTATTGTCTCTCCTTGAAAAAAAAAAATTAATAGATGCTTTTTCTTTGCCATTTCCTTTTTTTTTTTTTTGGTTGCTGGTGGATCCTGGACTCATTTATTGACTTGCAGACGACTTAACTGCAAAAATATATTCTTTCGATATAGTATTGAAGAAGCAGAACAGACATGTCCTTTTGGGAGGACTTGTTGGAAGTGGAAAATATTTCATGGGCTCTCAATGTTTTCACAAGTACGAATTAATGTAAAAAATACAAAATTACAAAAATCCTTTTTTCTCTATGGAAAGGGGGCAGATCGGGAAATCTAATGTCAATATCACTGTCCATGCCCATTCAAATTTTGACGTGAGAGATTGGTGTCATTTGCACAAGGTCAAGGAACTCGTGTGTGTTTTTTTTTCCCCTAAATTCTGAGCGCTTCACTTGGGGATGGGAAAGCTGACGTCACTATCTCTTGCCGTTTGAAAGTTGAACGTTGTTTAATGATAAAAAGTTCATTAAATTGTCTAGTAAATATATATTTGATATTGAAATTTTATGCTGTAGACTGATGCCTATGATGTTTGTTTCAGGTACTATCCATATCATTATGCCCCGTTTGCATCTGATCTTAAGGGCCTCTCTGATTTAGAGATACAGTTTTCTCCTGGGGAGCCGTTTAAACCCCTTGATCAGCTTTTAGGAACTTTGCCGTCTGCTAGGTCTTAATATTTCTTTCTGCTTTCAAGAGTTAAAGCTGTTGACGTTGCCTTTGATTATTTCTTTTAGTTATCTGTATTTATTTTTGTGTATATTTGTTTACTTATCACAGTTCTGGTTCTCTCCCTCAAAAGTACAGGGGATTGATGACGGATCCTTTGTCGCCTATTTATGATTTCTACCCAACTGGTACAATTAGTTGTCTTCTAAATATCGACTATCTTTTGTCTTATATTTCCTTTCCTTTATTTTCTCTGGAAATAATTTGTACTTCTCATAAATTGCTAGATTTTGAAATTGACATGAATGGAAAGCGTGCTGCATGGCAGGTAGTTTCCACATACAAACATGTTTATTGAGGTGAAAAGTGACATTATATATATATAGATTTTAACCACTGGAAATGACCTTATCTTTCATTTTTGCCAAATGATTAGGGTGTTGCCAAATTACCATTCATTGATGAGAATAAATTGCTTGCTGAGACGAAGAAGCTTGAGGACACCTTGACGGTATGAAAGATAGTCTTATTTTTTCCGTCCCTTTTCCTTGTATGCTGTTAGCCTCTGTTAAAGAGTACATACTTTGTTACTCAAGCTTAGTAATCACAGAGTTCTATCTATTTAAGTAGATATGCTGCCTTCTTAATTTTCTAATTAAGCAGTAAGCTGGGAGTGCTAGCTATTCAACATTTGAATAGAGCACTAATGAAGGGTATTGATGTAGACGATTTGATGATATGCTAGATATGATGGCCGGTGCCACAATCTTTTCCAAAATCGATTTGAAGAGTGGGTATCATCAGATTCGGATCCGCCCAGGAGACGAGTGGAAACTGCATTTAAAAGGAAAGATGGTCTATACGAGTGGTTGGTAATGCCTTTTGGACTAACCAATGCTCCAAGTACTTTTATGAGGGTGATGACACTGAGCCTTCGACCTTTCATGGGCAAATTCATTGTCGTATACTTTGATGACATCCTCGTGTACAGCAAAACAAGGGAACAACATCGAGATCATCTCACGCAAGTTTGCTCTACACTGTGTGCAACAAGCTTGTATGCCAATGCGAAGAAATGTTCTTTCTTCACGGATACAGTTGTGTTTTTTGAATTCATTGTTTTTGCTACGGGAGTATCTGCTGATCCTGTGAAGATTCGGGCAACTGTTGAGTGGCCTGACCCCAAGAATATACATGATGTTAGGAGTTTTCATGGTTTAGCTACCTTTTATCGTCATTTCATCAAGGGGTTTAGTACGATCATGACTTCAGAGAATGAGCACGTAAGGAAGAAAAGGGAGAAAGTGGGAAGCAGGGGAGGAAATTGGACACAACAAGCCAACTTGAATAATTTCATTCATCAAACTGACTTTCAATCCAAATTACAATAATATAAATACCAAAATAATAAACTTGGGCCAAACCCATATACAAGCCCAATGAGACATAAAGCCTAAAATAAATAAACAAAAGATAAAATAGTCCAACAATTGGCCCGATGAGGATGATGTCCGCATCAGGTATCCTTTTACACTGAAGGTTATATGCATGAATAAATAACTCATTCAGAGTTGATATCGAAAAGTGGCTTGACAAGGAGTTCAGTATGGGTTGGTGTTTTCTTGAACATTTAGTTTATAGTTATTGAATTTATCCTGGAAGAATGTTAGGTGAGTGGATTGTTGAACAAAATTCTGAATTTTGCAAGTCCCATGACAAACTTTGGTTAGACAACTCACTTGACTGCAAATTGATTGGGTTTACTAATTTTTTTTTATATGTCTGTTAGTGGGGACTGTAGGATGGACGAAATTCTGCTTTTCACCAAGCATTTTATAATAGAACCAATTTGCAGATAAACCTATCCCATTCTTGAGAACTGATATTGGTGCATTCTCTAATATTACAAATGGTGCATGGGAAGCTGATAATCTAAGCTCCTTTTTATTTATTTATTTTTTTTAATTACCCCTGGAGGAAAAAGAAAGGTAGATGAAAATAAAAGGGAGATGGTGAGTTTCGAAATTCTCATATAAAGTGTGGGGAATCTAGATTGACAAGAGAAGAAAGGAAAGCTGAGTGAGCTATCTTGCACCACAATAATCCCTTTTAGTGCTTTCACTACCCTCAGCTTTCATTGGTTTAGCTATACTTTTCACATCCTTTTACGAGCCTTTGTGACTAATGTTTCTCACGTAAAGCTAGAGTAAGTGATGAGGACATTCATCTATATTTATTTTCTATTTGGACTCTTATCCATGTTTATGTAATTGGGCTTGTATAATGGGTTTGGCCCAAACCTCTTTTTTTTCTTTTTATTTTATAAATCTTGTTGGTTGGTGATTGTGACAGTTGATGATTGAATAAAATATTTGGTGGCTGGTTGCAAACGTTTCCTCCCTTCCTCTATTCTTTTCTCCTCCTACTGTTTTCTTCTTCTGCCATCTCTGCCTCTGATTTCTTCTTCCCTTCTGAATTGTTTTCTCATTCTCCATTGGGTGTTTATATTGGTGTTGCATCAATAAGTAACTACAGCAGATGTTTTACTGAAGATGGAAGCTAGGTATGAAGGATTTCGGTGGCAGCAACAATGTCCCCCCTGGAAAATTTTCATCCTCGAACCTTTTCCTGAGGATTTTTCTGTTCTATTTTTCTCCCTTTTGTCTGCACGGTAGTGCCATGTAATTATATGCAACCAGGCTAAGTTCTTGAACTTTCACGTATGGCATTGGATTTAATTATCTGTGTGTTTTCCTTATTAATAAAATTACTTCGGTTTTTTTGTTTTTGGTTTGGAGGGGATGGCTCCCTTGAATTATTTCAATTGTGTTTGTGAATGCACAGAACAAGTGCATTTCCAAAACCTAGAGCTCAAAGAAGGCTGAGAAGGGAGTCCAGTTGGGGGAGGGGGAGTGTGTGTGTAGATGCACTGGGTTTGGGAAGAAGTAATTTGTTATGTTGGGGTGTTCTTATATAATGTTTCTCAGAGATATTTAAAGATTACGTTTGGAAAATTTGAACAAAATGGGTTTGAAAATTGCTGAAGTGAAAACAGAGTTTCTTGGATAACTTTATAGTTTTTTTTCAGAATGATGTAAAAATGGCTCATAATTAACAGAATTATCTCATAGGGCAAGTGGGCAGTGAAGGGAGTATCTCAAATAATGTCCAAAATTAGGCTTCTCTGAGGGAAACAAGGAAAAGAGGAGCAAATTGTAATTTTTTGGGTAAAGCGTGCTGTACAATAGAATAAACTATCTTATTTGCATCTTACGATTTGCATAAACTCTGCATCCCTAAACCAAGATATATGCATGAACCCTAACAAATAATGCCGAAATTGAGTAGTCATAGGGATATTTACAACTGTGACCAACAAGAGAAATTTTAGTCTAAATAAATTTGGGGTTATGAATTATGTTTGATACTAATTGATTGGCATGTCACCCATGTAACCAAGCTTACAGGCTCTCTACTTACTGCAACCTTTCTATATCTAGGCTTGGAATTGGAAATGAAGAAACATAGCAGAGTTATGTTTTCAAAAGAATAAAAACCAAGTAATAAAGATAAGGCCAATTGCACAAGATCAATGTAGTATTAACCGTACATGGGCTAACGAAGTCGATGACAGTCTCTGCACTTCTGTTTTACTCCTCCCCTCTCCCTTAAACAGATCATCTGCATCAGAAATCTTTGCATTCTGCAATGTTTGAGTCATATCTTTCCCTTTTTCCTTCACATACTTTGCAAATTGAAAAACCTCGACAATCGATCTGAGGGCTGTTTTGGTTGGGAGTGCTTAGATTTGATGGTTTGTCATTTTCTGATTTTTGACACCTCAAGATTTGCGCTAAATAAGGAGTATTTTAAGACCGTATGTTATATGGCTTAAACTGCTGCAAGATACTGAAACAAAATCACATCTGAGTTCCATCAAGATGTCATCTTGATGTACATGGACTTGAACCTGGTTTGGGACATGAGCAATATGTCCTTTACTTGAGAAAAGGGAGCAGAAGAAAAGCTATGGCAATTTACATTTTTCTTTTGCAGGAGGAAGAACAATTTCGGAATGGCGTGATGTTTGATCTACTATATGTCCATCCTCTTCATCCTTTGGCTGCTCAAATTACCTTGTACTATCGTCTTTCTCACATGGAGAAATCGCCATGGAGAATTGATATGAATGCCAGGTTGGTTTATTTAGTCAATCCAGCCAATTTTTTTCAACCATGGTAATTAATGCCTGCTTGCCTTTGGTGTATTATCTATTTTGTTTTTCAACTTTTTCAGTGGTGGAATGAATGGATTCCTTTGGTTGACTGAGCGAAATGGTTTGAAACGAGTAGTTCCTTCCCCAATCAATGAATTGGAAGACATTATGGATAATCAAGTTCTGTAAGTTTACACTATCCCTCAGCCGCCCTGCAGAAAAAGAAAAGGCGGAAGATGGTGTAGTATGTAATCGTTGAATTCCTCAAGATGTTGTACAATTCTTTTGCAGAAACATTACTTATCTTTATCCAGTTCCACATGCACACATCCCGGAACCTCCTAAAGGTGCAGTCCTACCTGAAAAGGTATGCAAATTTTTAGCTACTCTAATTGTTAGCAACATGTTTTTTGTGGAAGATGCAAGAGAATATATTGTTAGGCCCTTTTAAGCTAGCAATCATAATATGCTCTTAGGATGGTCATACCTGAATTTGTAAGTTGGACCACTTTGCAAGCAAATAAAATAAGTTTTTAGAGCCCCCAATAAGATATTCTTCCTTGACTAAAGATAATCTTGTAGATAATGGTGGCAGGCTTATTTTTAGAGCTCCCAATACGATATTCTTCCTCCACTAGTGATAAAAGTTTCTTTAGCTTTACTCTCATGTCGTCCCTTATATTTTACCTGCAGGTTGTGAGACCTACTGACATAAAACCATTCCCTATACTATGGCATGAAGACAATGGTGGCAGGCGTATGCTAGGCATAGAAAGGTAATAGAATTTACACAGATAGTGTCAAACGTCTCTCCTGCACAGTCCTTTGGGAATATTAAAAATTTTAATATCTTAAATTGTTGACCTACCAATTCCAGAATTTGATATTCAGCTTACAGCAGATTGGGAATTCTGTGGTCATTGTTGGTTTACACTAAGCTCTGGAACTAGTAAATAGTAAATTGTTACCTTGCTTGAAAACGGTGGGTCATTTATTACACTAGAATGGAATTATAGCACTTCTTTGATTGCTTCTGTTTCACAGGCCACAAGTATCCGGGGCAATATCTGGTCCTACATTGGGAGGAGCTGCTTATCGTCTGGTTCATAACACACTGAACATTAAATCCATTCACACTGACTACGGAATTTCAGAGCAGGCGGCTTCTCACAATTTCCATGGCAACCATGTAGCGAACAGATTGAGGCCAGCTGGACCGCCTGGCTATGAAAGTGGCTTTTCCGATGGAACATCTTATCATAATTCTTCATACCACCCACAAAATAAGCCTAGACCATCTGGGTATGACCTAGGATCTGGTCGAAATGCGGAAGGACGAGGTTATTGGGATCATCCAAATTTTCTACACGGGCATTTCAATCCTCGAGGACCAGTTAATGGTGCTAGATATGGTGTCCCCTCGAACAACGTGCAAAACAGGCAAAACTTCAAGATGCAACCAAGTCAGGAACAGTATCATGACTTAAGACATAGCATCTATACTTTGACCATGGAAGATGGTGCCGGAACCAGGCCACACAATTCAGGTCAAATACCAAACATACATCAGCAACTTGGGCAAAACGTGGGTCCACTTCCGTCACCACCTCCTAAATGGATTGGCAGACATGCTGGAGGAAATGATGGGATGTATATTGACCAACAACAGACTTTAACTGCTGCTGGAAACGAGAGACAATTGAAGAAGGTTTACCAGGTCAAAAACAAGTCACAACAAATAAATTGAATCCAGAACTCCAGCAGTGATGATATATGTGTAAAGTGGCGCCCTTTCAGTTAGTTCATAACTTGGTCAGAAACAACCTGACCAGCAAAGTTGAGAGGTTCAAACTTTGAGCAAAACCCACTCTGGAAACTTGCTCGATGTTGGAAAATGGAGATCGGCTGCTTCTGTATGTTTGGTTTCTCTGGAGAATATAATACATGGAGAAGTGCTGGAGAGTTTTTTGAGTCCAGCCTTCATCTTGTACTATAATATTCCAGGAATACAAGGGCTATAAGATTCGCAATTATGCAGCAAAGACTTTTGGGGATGTGGATTCCTGTGCTTGGGTCCACGCGATTTATATACAGACTCGACATGCAAATTCTTTTTCATGTAGCTTGGTGAACTTTCTTGGAAACAATGTAAAAGTGGTTACTTTCTTCCCTTTTCTGTCGAGGTTTCTACATTATTAAGATTACATGTGAACTGAATTGACGTACAATATTTCCGCAAAATTGTTTACCACGAATATTTTCCGCTGTTCATTTCATGGAAAGAAATATTTTGCTGCTACTTGCAGGTGACCATGGTGGCAGTTACAGGAGGCAGTTGTCTTGTTCAAAACTGTGTAATTCAGCATAGATCAAACATTTTCGCCTGCCTATAATAGTGTAGTTAATTAAGTTCTCTCTTAAATTCTTTATTTCTGTACTCTCAGCAGAGTTTTAACAAATTCGTGGGAAGAAGCAAATTTTGACCAGCTAAAAGGCTTATTTATTTCCATTTGCGTGTTCGACGAGAAAAGAAACTCGTGGGCATGTTTGGCTAAGTTCGAATTCATTTTCAAGTGAATTCTTATTTTCAAAATAGTTAAGATAGATTATCCTATCTTATTTGTAATTAAAGAAAAAGATTACTTATTTTGCTTATATTAAGAAAAATCATTTATTTAATAACTTATTTGTAATTAAAGAAAAAGATTACTTATTTTGCTTATATTAAGAAAAATCATTTATTTAATAACTTATTTGGTATTCCTAGGTTTAACAAAACTGCAACATTTTCAATTTCAATTGAGCTGATAAAGTGGAGGAATTTTGGAAAATAATCAATAAATTCGGATAAATAAGCTCCCATTTGGTTTAGATTAAAAAGTTAATAAAAATGTAAATTATAATTAACAATTAATTTAAACCACATTTCATGGATTCACAATTTTTATCATATTTTCAAACATAAATTTCATTAATTTTTATTAAAATTTATTAAAAATTTTGATTTTTGACAAAACTAAATGGGGCTAAGAATAAATTTAAATTTGATAACTTTATTGTCGCCCATGTTAGAGATTGTCCATCGTAGGGAATTGAGATGACTCCAATAAAGGCATTGAAAGAGCTAGTCAAGTGCAAGCAAAGAGAATTGACTTGAGTCTCCGTTCATTTAGTGAACTATTAATGAGATTTTTGGATAAAAATTTGCAGGTTATAATCCTAATCTTTCTTTCTTTATCTTTGTGCAATGGTAACTAAAGGAAGCTCTCCAGCCAGGGAGGGACTTTCTATTTTAACCTCATCTCCTGGTGTGTGAGAAAAAGAGTGACAAGCTCATCTTTACTACTCCGATCAAAGGTTGGTGTAAAGTTAAAGGGTCAGCTACGGATTCCTTGTAGTACAGGAGGTCTTCTCCGGAACAACGAGGCAAGTTGTTGCAAATCATAATTTAGAATACATTGCTAATAATACGTGGAAATTTTGTAGACAGTACTAGACAATACTGAACACTATAACGAACAAATTTTTAACTTCTTTTCCTTCTTTAGTAGAATCCTGTGCTCCTATCAAACATGCACCAAATGATTTCACGCATGCTAGAACCCTACCTTGAACTGGAATTAATGAAATGAGATGCATATACCATATACTTTTGTATTTGAACGCACCTTTGTTCTCCTAGTACACAAAGCAGGCCCTCTCAGAAGCAACACAATGACAAAAATAATGTGGTTATTGGAAGTTTCTCTCATTTCTCCACCTATATAAGTACTACAAGGCTCCTTGAGAACAAACAAGAAATGGGGTATTGATGGTTGTCCGAGTTTGGACAGCTCAATATTTAATCTTAAGAATTGAAACATAATGGTCCTTGATCCATCTCATAATGAACATGACATGGGAAAATTTATCTAGTGCTGTTGTAGCACCAGTACAAGGTAAGTTCATTGAAATAAGACGTCATCTTTTTGCAGATGAGCAGCTTGCTTGAGGGTTCGGCTATATGTACACGGGAGTGTACACTCCGGTGTACATGCCCTTTCACATGGGAGGTCGGTTGGAAGCATTTATTGGACGTGGGGCCCCTTCCCATGTGAGGGGCGTGTACACCAAAGTGTACACGCCCCAGTACAAATGGCTTTTTCCTTTGCTTGATCATTTTGTCACAAAATTTTCTCAAATGCTGAATTGTGGTGTACACGCCCCAGTACAAATGGCTTTTTCCTTTGCTTGATCATTTTGTCACAAAATTTTCTCAAATGCTGAATTGAAGTTCCAATTATTCAGCTAAGTCATAAATTTCTATGAAAAACTAACCACAGATTGTCAAATTAAAGTTGCAAATATTAGATTTCATTTCATGGCTTTTGTAGTGTGTTCGATATGTACTTTATACACGAATTAGATGTACCTCTTCTGTACATCTACTCTTTCTCAATGCATTTCTTTAGACAAAAACTTCATTTTTCTCTTTTCAGACGGTAAATATTTCTCAAAACATGGAGTGTGACTTGAACCCATGTTTGGATTGAAATTGAGATACTGATACAAGTTTTTCCTTTCTGAATTAGATAGATTCATATTTGAAAGAGGTTGACAATAAGTTACCATTTGTCCCTTTGTTAGGTGTTCCAGACAAATACATAAGGTTACCTTTTCTTCTTTATTATTGTCTAACACAATACAATACTTACAATACAAACACCGATGACATGTTTGGTGGGGGGAAGATTGGGCAATAATAAACATATTGAGGAAGAAGAAAAAGTTAAAATCTTATTGTGATACTATATAGTCATCTCGGCTCAGGTACTGCACACCAAATATGCACTAACCATTTTTAAAATTCGTCTTAGATGAACAAGAGAACTCAAACATGTATCTCATGTATTATTACTTCTCAAAAGATAAACAACTCTGTTGGGGTGGGTAAAAGAGTTCTTAGACTATCAGACTGTACCAAATTTCAATATATTTCAACAGTTAATCATTGAAGAAAATAACCAGACAAGAAGAACAAAAATCCAAGAAACAAACCACCCCATATAAGCACAGCCTTTTGGCCAGAGGTTAGTGCATTACCACCCAATCCAAATTGCTGATTCTCAGCGAAACCCGCAATCTCCACACTCTTGCTCTCGAAGAAACTCTTGGAAGCCCCACAAGTTGGGCACCTCCAGTCCTGTGGCAGCTTATCAAAAGGAAGCCCTGGTGGAATTGGATATGAAGGGTCCCCTGCAGCCTGATCATATCTGAACCCACAAGATCTGCAGTCATATATTCCAGTATTCAACACTGCAAACTTCTCCTCTAGCCTTCTTTTATCAAATTTCACCTCAGATTCCTCTTCAACAGGGGTTTCTGCATCCTGGGTTGTTTCTGGTATTGGTTGTTTGTCTTCTTTGGAGACGTCAATTGACTTTACTGTGAAAATGGGCTTTAAGGGTCTGTAAGAAATTGGTTCAAATTTAAGGAACTTGAGCTGTGGTTTGAGTTTACGCACAGAGGAAGGAGATTTGAAAGACTTGAAAGCAAAGGAAGGTCTGGTTATTGCTGACGCCATTGAAGGATTTTGTTGTGTTCTTCAGTTTTTATTTATTTATTTATCTTTTTTTTTTTCTCAAATGAATACTCTTATTTGTTTTGATTCTGGGATTGCAGGAGAATTTGTTTTGGTGGTGTTCGTGTGTGGTTCTTACTGATTCAAGAAATCAAATGGGATGGGATCCATCTTGGGGAAGAGCATATACCTTGTGAATGGGGCAGGATAAGGCGGAGTTTTTATTTGAAAACCAATTTTTATATAAATTTATTCTTTTAATTTTCCGTTAAATTTTCTATAAAAAGTTAACGGAATTAATTTTCACCATTTTACTATTTATCTGGTTAGGAGTGAATATTTTAATTGGAATCGGAATCGAATCGGAAGCTCTAAAATAAAAAAATTAGTATTAGGAATCGAAAAATCGAGAACCAAAAGCAATTGGGTTGGTTATTGATTCTTGAATCAGACATGTGATTACTCGACTCTAAAATTGAATTTGTCATTTTTATTATTTTCTTATTATTTATTCACTATCGGCCAAAAAATTCGATCCAACAAGTAGCAAGTTTGCAAAGTTCAATTAGTAGGTACCTAATTAATAAGATTCATTTATTTAAATAATTAAGTCACTGTTCGTCTATCATTATTCAATGACAATGAGTTTTAGAATATTGATTTTTTTATTATTTTTTTTTGTAGAATTTGTGGTTAAAAAGTATGAAAAAATTTTGAACTCACAAACAAAATGTAATATTGTGAAATTGTGTGGCTGAAAATGAATTTCATAAAAATAAAATTTTGAAATAATTGTAGATAAACAGGGACTAAGTCATATTACTTTCGTTCATAAATACTTCACACTGTACTTTACATGCTAATCGTCATGGAAACCATTCTTGAGATCTTGCTATAGATGCACAATCGAAATTTGATATTATGTTAGATATTGGATGTTATTGGTGGCATATTTGTAGTAGATTAAGAAATTATTGAAATATTGGTGTAATATTTTTATTTATTCTATTTTTGTTAGTAATTTTATTGTCAACTCTCGAATATTTTAAAAAATGTCATGTGTAGAAAGGTAATTGAATTGAAATTGATGGTCAAGTTTGAATTAGGTTCCAGTTATTATGTGGACTCCAATTGTTCAATTTACTAAGTACTTAAAGTGCATTGGATGATTTTGAGTATTGAAATATATAGATCGACCCACTTGATACTCAACCTAAATATGGCGGTGTATTGAATGATTTAACATTTTTCTAAACTCTCTGCATATAGCAAGTGTTGTCTTGATCATAAGTGTCGTGATGAGTAAATATATCTTCACATTCATTTTATCAAGAATGATCTCCTAAATACCGTAATATGGTGACATGACATATCATTTAATTGGTGAATAAGTTAATGATATGTCCCATGTATTTAATAATTCACCGAGTTTAGGAGATTATTTCCGTTCATTCTATAACCCATAAAATATTTAACCTCATAAAGTAATATTCACTGGTTCACACGAAATTTTATCTGTCCCATGTTACTCGAGTGTTTAAATTCTCTCTACGAGCCCTTCGGGGTATAGCCCAGTGGTGCAAAGCACAGAGTGAGGTTATCTCACGTCTTGCTGGCAGCTGCAATGTGGGAGTTTGATACCTAGGACATGGAATTGGACTTTTTGTAGGCGTAGTGTACAGACAGTTCTTGTTCTTTGGCCTGCTGTGACACATCCCGCTATTTACCTCCTTCACAAAACTTTTGAGACGTGACGGTGGGGACCCTCAAGATTGGGGTTCAACCTTTTTTTTTTTTTTTTAAATTCTCTCTACGAAATAGCTTACTTTGTTGGCGAACAAATCTCACATTTTAATCTTTTATTCTTTTTTATTTAATTACATTTTCATCGTTTTTCATATATTCCGTTAAATATTAGACAGATGCTACGCACGTGAATAAAATGAAATGATTTTACTATTGGTTAGCCAGTGGCACGTGGTGAACCGTTGAACCCAATACGGTCTTAGCCTAACACGCAACCAATTAGCCAAATAAAGACGCAGTTCAGGAACCCATTCAGCTTCCCCAACCTAAACCTAACCACAACCTTCTTCGGTCCCAACCCTAATCACAATCGAATCAACACCCACACTCCGGCCCCTATGGCCTCCGCCGAAGACCCCAGTAACGCCGGTGCCGCCCTCTACAACGAAGATGAGGACCTTCTCGACGAGGAAGATGATGACGACAGCTCCGACCACGGCGAAGATGTCTATCTGGAGGCTGACGTCGACGTCGATGAGGATTCCGCCTCCTCGTCTCCGGCTACAGCGTCTGCGTCTGTTTCTGTTGTCGATCGGCCTCCGGCTTCTGTCTCCACCGCACAAGTCACCGTCGCCGTCGCTGACGTCCCCGATTTTCGTGTGAACCAGCAGTCACAACAACAGCAACAGCAGCAGCATATTCCAGCTGATGCCATCACTGGGGTCACCAGGAAGCCGCAGGCTATAGCGTTCCCCGACGAGTCACGCAAGCTGTTTCAGCGTCTCTGGACTGACGAGGACGAAATCGAGCTGTTGCAGGGGTTTCTGGAATATACTACTCAGCGTGGGCCACAAAGTTCTTCGCACCACCATGATACGACGGCCTTCTATGACCAGATCAAGGATAAGCTGCAGCTTGATTTCAATAAGAATCAGCTTGTGGAGAAGCTGAGGAGGCTCAAGAAGAAGTATCGCAACGTCATAAGTAAATCTGGTTCCGGCAAAGATCACTCCTTCAAGAGTCCCCACGATCAGGCGACTTTCGAAATCTCCAGTAAAATCTGGGGCGACAGTGTTGGAGTCAACGGTTCCGTCGTTCGTGCTGCCCCAACTGATGAGGCCAGGTTTGAAGATAATGATCCTAGCAACTCCAATTTTGTTGGCAATCAAAGCCCTATCCCGAACAACCCTAATGGCTTCGATGGGAATAGCAAGACACCCCGATCCAGGAAGCGAAACCGAGCCGGAGCAGTGAAAGTCGAGGAAAAACAGCACGCCTTTACTAGTAATCCTCAAATTAATCAGCCATCAGTGGGAGTGGGTGTGGGTGTGGTCACCCCAGTGGCTACTCCTTTAGGCGTGGGGATGCCAGCATCCATGTCAAACGTGATTGAGGAGACTGTGAGAAGCTGTTTGTCGCCGTTTTTCAAGGAGTTGTTGGGAAATTCTATGAATTTGAATGGGAATGCATTGTATGGAAACCGAGGGTTTGGGTTGGCTTTGAGTCCCATGCCTTTGGGATTTAGTGGAGTGACTGGTGGGGAGAGGCTTGTTGACGAGAAATGGAGGAAGCAGCAGATATTGGAATTGGAGGTGTTTTCAAAGAGGTTGGAGTTGGTGCAGGATCAGATTAAAGCACAGTTGGAGGAGCTCAGGTCCATGGGGAGTTAATGGCCAGCTTTCTTCAGTAGTAAGCTGGCTTTTCAACTCTCCTGACTCCTGGGTTAGTAGCATATTTATTCATTTGTCTTTGATAAATGAGAAAGTGCAGATTCTGTTTAGATTTTTAATTTGGGTTGCTGAATAATACTTCTAATAGTTAGGCCTTCGATGGGTGGTTGCATGTCTCCTCAAGTCTGTGAGGGATATTGTTTGATATGTACATCGGAATTGACATGGACTAGTAGTTTACTTAGATAATTATATGCTATAATTGCTATGATCTTCAAATTATGCATCTGTGAATGCATTTTTCCTTTTCTTGCTCTCTATTTTCTCTCGGGAAACACTTTCACTGTATGTAACTTCTGATATTTGGAGTCGTCTCTCATATAAATTCTACAGAGGATTACACAGGATTATGATCTCTGAATTTCATTATGAAATGCTTGGAATTTTTATGGTGTAACCTTGGTCTTGATTGATGCTGACTATTGAAATTTTTTGTTATGGTTGAACTTGAAAATCTCACCAGGATGCTTAATTGCATATATTTTAGATCAGCTTTTTGAAACATGTAGATGTGATTATGTGATTGTAAGGAGTTGAAAAGCTAGCTGCTCTTCGGTGTTTCCACTCTAAGATCACCAAGTTGAGAGAACATATAGTTACCTGATGGATAGTGAAGCTGAATCGCATAAGGTTTGGAGAACTTGATATAGATGAGTTACTGTGACCTGGAGAAGGGCATATACACTGTTAGAAACAAATTATATACCTAACTAGTTATGCCATTACCTGGTTTTTCCAGCTCCTTAATCTTATGGATAGTTTAGTCCTTGAATCTTAGATTGATGACCGGAGATAACTCATTCAAGTTCCCAGATTTGATCATTATTTTATATATATGAATTACATATGTCTGTAGACTCAAGGTTCTGCGCCATCAAATAAAGTGAAGAGCGTTCTTGGATTATGTGGTCAGAAGTGACGACAGAGATTTTGAATTCTTACTAGAAATAGTTTGTCTACAAAATTGATATCTACGTAGAAAATATTTTAGTTGTCCTTTTCTGAAAAAATTTATTTTAGTTGTCATTTAAACTCCACTGAAACTAAAACAAATTCTTGATCAATTAAAAGACCATCGCTTAATGATTCAAATCATTTTCATACCCCCTCGCGTAAATAATGGCATTGTAATTCAGCAGGATTAGCATTAGATTACTCCATACTTGAAAGATTATATAGAAAGATATCACCACCATGGAATTATAAAATTAGAAAAGATGTAGAGTCAAACCCTAACGACTTTGGTCATAGTTTTACAACTATCACAAAGTTGTATTGATGAAGATGATGATGAAGCTAGGGAGGGAGTTTGCATCAAGTAAGTAAGGCAGTATAATCTGAATGCAAGAAATATTAGAACTTTAAAACAATATGTTTGTAATGGCCTTTGAGAACTTTACCATTTAGCAAATTAATTTCTTCAGACTTATTTGAAAAGATGCTTTTGACAATTTTTGTCTTCACGACTGACTTTTCTTGCAATATGAGAATCAACTTTGCAGATGTTGAAAATGACAAGTAAGAAAATTTTCTTCGTAAATTTACTAATTTCGGTTTAAATGAGTTTAAATGACAACTAAGATTTAAATGAGTTTAAATGATAACTAGAGTATTTAGATTACACTGTCTTACTTACTTGTTCATTAGAAAGTTTTAACGAGTATATTAATACTTATTTAGAAAATAGAGAGAGAGAGTAAGATTAGTCAGCGATTATTGGTGAATTGGCTAGAAAGGGAACCTGATTCAATGGGACCGATGAGAACCAAAGGGTTCAATCTGTTTATCTGGCGTCATTATGTATGCTTTTCGGATCTCATGGGATGATTTGCACTTTGGTATCAAGTGAGGTGCGTGTGTAGATTGATTTGCTAGGAATCCAATGTATCCTTGACATCATGCCCATTCCCCCAATTGTACTATATGCTTGGCGTCTCCCTAATCCCAATATTCCAATTTTGCGGGTGCGTGTTAAACATGTAACAATAAGTAGCTTCACTGATAGGACTAATGCCAGAAAAATGATGTTTAAAATGTAAGATGATACTCAATAATTGGTGCAAAGTTTGTTGAGAAGATCAAAATGTGATGCATGTTGCATTTCATTATGAGTCGTGATATTATTGGAATTTTATTTTGAAACTTTATTCTACATTTTTTGTTAGAAATGAGGGAAAAAGTTTCCCGGCTTCCCAACTTTTATCTAATTCCAAGCTATTTTATTAGTTTTCTAGGTGTGAAAAATCGGAGTGTGACTATTTGCAACTAACCTCTTTTCAAGGTAGTCAATCTGAAACAAGTGCAGAATTCCTAAGACAATCATGCTATATATACATCATATTTTACCTTGTGTCACGTGATATCACACAGTTGGACAGTTTGTGGACAGTATAAATTTTTTTTACCAATTAAATTTTGCAAACTCAGATGATGTACACTTTTGATGTACAAATGACTTTTCCCTAAAGAAAGCAGGATACTAGATGCAATACAAGTCGCAAATAAGTCTTAAGTACTTTTCGATATTATTTATCTTGATATGTTTATATGATCAAATGGTGCCTCTTTTGCTCATTTGCAGGTGTCACTACTAAGTCATTATACAGTATAGGAGGAGTACCACGGGGTAAAGTAATATGTGAAAGAGTGATGTTAAACATCCAGGGCCACATGGGCCTTGGACGTCCACTAAAGATGGCATCCTGTCCTGCCCTGCCCCCAAAAAAAAATGTGGAACTATGGGACTTAATAATCATCTGTCCACTTAATGTTGGGCGAGAAACCTGTGAAAATAGGCAACCTTCAATTAAGTGAGACTTCAGAGAACTTACCCGCTTTTGGCTTTTGCAGATAAGCTTCACGTCCACGAATGCGAAGGTAACTCCTTAATTCCTCATAGTTTGAACATTTTGTTTGCAACAAATCAGGGGTCAAATTATCAAAAAGATAACAATATCTTTAAAAATAATAATAATAATAATAATAATAATAATAATAATAAAATTCAAACGGGCAAGCTCCCGCCTTGCCCCACTGCCAACCATAGCGTTCAGTGGCACCCCCTATTTGTGGGTGGTTTGGCCCTGGGCGTTTAGAATAATTCTATGTGAAAACAAAGAATGGAAGAAAACAAATCAGCTTGACTTTGAAAAACTTAAAGGGTGTTTGGCACCCATTTTTATGGAAAAATAAATTTTAGAATAGTAGATTGATGGAGAATATATGAATGAAAAATAAGATTTTTTTTTATTTACGTGCAATATTATTTTAATAAAAATGTGTGGTTGAAAAGTAGAGAGATAAAAATGGAAATCAAACGGAGCTTTAGGGTATGTTTTCCGTCCAACTATACAAATTGTTTTTCCCGCCAACTAAATCAGGCACCACCTTCTCGTTTTAACATTGTTGCAAGCCTCCATTCATTGCCTTATTGGTCTTCCTTTTTCCTTAGCCATACCTATCAAAGTACTTTTTCCAGTGGGCACATTTGTTTAGGAATAAGCCACTTATACATTCTTTTGTTTACGTTATGATTGACACTCCATTGATTTTCAAATTGAAATGGACAGGAAAGTATGCTTCATTTTAAAACTGTCCCCTCATGCTACAATGCTTGTCACAATGTTAAAAATGATGTCAAATAAAGTATACATATAACATGATTGATTTGTTTAACTGATAAAAAAATTGATTCATACCTTAACAAACATGCTATTAAACTGCAGAAAAAGAAACCGGTGGCTGAGAAAAAGAAAGCAAAGGTAGATGACAAATTGGAAGAGACCATTAAGTGTGAATTCAGTAATTATACCCAGTGGGGTTGAACAGATTATTTCAAAGGTAATTGATCAAAAATTTTGAAATAAAGATAAATGAGTCATATTGACTATGTTCAATCGATTAATTGACACTTAGATGGGTTCTAAGAACCAATGGAGCCCAATTCATAACGTATTTGATTATGTCATAATTAAATAACAATTGAAAATTAGATTATGATTAGAATATCTGTGTGTAACGCTGTAAACATAAATGTTTTAGTAAATTTACTTTATGGACAAAAAATTTGGCACTAAACAAAGTAATAAATATATAAATTAAACAATAAATATCAAAACTTATACTAAAAATGAAATAACCGTGAAATAAATAAATTATATGCTGACATTATTGTATATAAAAATATTTAAAGAAATAAAAATAAATCTTAAGTTTTATATATAATGTTTAAAAAAAAAACTATAAAATAACTTAACTTTATTTAAAAATAAATAAAAAGAAATATCGAGATCTTGTTTGATCCACATTATTTCTAAAATACGTTCTCTTTCTTCCTTTTAATCACATTTTTTTCAATAAAATAATATTACACGGCATTCAAAATTTTTCTTTATTTTTTAATAATACACTCTCCTTCAATCTTTAATCTATAATACAACAAACTTAATTCGTTTGAGGTTGGTTAACCTTTCCATACCTTGGGGTACTTCAATAATAGAACCTGATGACTCCAAATATCTAAGTTTATTGAGCTTTTCCAACTATGGCACTGATACCAGTTTAAAACAACCTGTAAGCAATAATGCATTATGTTTTTCCGTATGAAATTAAGCGAGCTCTCAATTTTAGTTTCATTTAAATCGAGAGTGCGTAACCCACACATATGCGTTAAGAAACTATTTGGAATCAACCGTAGAGGATTTCTTCTCAAGATCAAGGTGGAAAGACTTGGACACTTGGGTGACATGCCGGGTGAAATTTCCTCTAGAGATTAGAGTTTCACATCAAGGAAACCTTAACCAAATCTTTTGTTTATAAGTGTTATGCTTTAGGTTCAATCAATCTTGAATATAAATACTTTCAATAAATAATTAATGCAATTTAATGACAGATCTATTATTTAACTATTAGACAATTAAATTAAATAATGGAGTTCGTAGATTTAAATTTTCGTAATTTGTTAATCATAAAAAGTTGTAATTATAAGATACAAAGTACATATGATTGAATCTTCAATCGTCCGTGGTCGTTAGTAATAACGAGATACGGATATTGTTATTACGAACAGACCATCACGTGCGACATTTCGTACTTGTGAAGTAAGTAGCTGATCTCACAAGTTAAAGTGTGATGACACTTAAATGAACCCGTGGATGTTTTGTTATAGAACAAAACATTGGAGACCCGTATAAAGATTTCACATATAACTATCTGAGTGTCAGTGGTTAATCTCTAACGTTCAGTAGTGTAATTAATCATTTAACTTAAGGTCGTCATGGTACCTTATATGACGACAATCATATTTTGAAAATATTTTGGATGTTGCTCTGCCAAGGGCCGCTAATACGACATTATTCGGGTATGTCAAGAATCATATGAAGGTTGTGAATGACCAAT